TTTTTTCTTCCCTGATGGCACGGGCATATTCCAAGATGACAATGCCAGGATTCATCGGGCTCAAATTTTGAAAGAGTGGTTCAGGGAGTATGAGACATCATTTTCACACATGGATTGGCCACCACAGAGTCCAGACCTTAACCCCATTGAGAATCTTTGGGATGTGCTGGAGAAGGCTTTGCGCAGCGGTCAGACTCTACCATCATCAATGCAAGATCTTGGTGAAAAATGAATGCAACACTGGATGGAAATAAATCTTGTGACATTGCAGAAGCTTATCGAAACAATGCCACAGCGAATGCGTTCCGTAATCGAGTGTGTGACTTTTTTTTTTTTTTGGGCCAGGCACTGTATCTATCTATCTATCAACTTCAGTTTAAACCTAAAGATGAAATAAGTAGGGGAAGAGCAGTATAACATACCATGCTATAATAGTTACTGTTGACCACAAGGGGGTTTCGTCCACGTAGGTAGACATATTCCTCCCACCAGTCACTGACCTAAGACAGGAAGGAAAAGACACTGGCTATGAGAATACATGACATAAAAAAAAAACAAAAAAACATTGGACATTTACTTTAAGGTCAACCTCTTACATAATTAGACGTCCAGAGAGCTTTAAGGTTGAGGTACCACTGCAGGCGTTTACCAAGGCTGTTCTCGAACTCTTTGGCCAGCTTTGTCACATGTTCATACCTGTCATCATCCATGAGTGGGCGCACTGATTCCATGTACTAAATGACAACATATTGTTTGAGTTTAGCACTCCACAGTAAACACATGAGAAAGCCCAATTTAACAGATTTAATCATATTTTAATTGTTTGGATAGTTTATGATAACACATTTTTATTTACTGCACATGGCTAAAAAAAGAGGTTATTTGAAGGAAGGTCTCACCCTCTTCACAGTATCCTTAAGCACAGGCACAGGCTGGTTTGGCAATGAACCCTGATAGCTGTAAAGCAAAGGTTTCCTGCCTGAAAAGATCCTCACCAATGCCTGACGGAGACATGAAAATATTATTTAATGCACATATCAAAAGCTATTTTGTGTAATTTTTTTTTTTTTTTTTTTTTTGTACAAATGTCCGATATTACCTTTTTGCTATCCGATATGCCGATATTGTCCAAACACTTACTTTCTGACTTGGATTCAATTTTAGGTCACATCATCTAGGCAAAGCCCAAATATTCGGGTTTTTATTATCAGGGGAAACGCCAATAACGATTCTTACCGATATTACACAATTATTCTAATATTGGTTAGCCGATATTATCTGACAACCTTATATAACTTATCAAGGAACAGTAAATAATTGTTTCACTCTTTACACAGCCGTATCAGACAATTAAAATAAAATACAAACTGACCACCCAGACTCTAGTGGTGTTTGACATTTTGCCATGTTGCTCAAAAATCCAGTGATGGTAGGACAGGAGTTGCTTGAGGCACAGGCGCATGGTGAAAATGAGCAGTAGCCACAACATGGTGCTGAAAAGCACTGCTGACATCACCACCTGGCACTGCCTGCTCATCGATTGGCTGGAAATGTAAAAGGAGAAGTGTTATGGAGATTGGAGTAACATATTTAGGTGAAGAAAGAGTAAGGGTAAAGTACAGATGTCAAATACAACATTACACATCAGTAATAATAGCTTGGAAACTCTTTTTCATCTCTACATTAAAAACATCATATATATATAAAACACCTTCAGGACACTGTAGGGTACAACCGAGGCACTTTTATTTTATCATTACTAGGGATGCACCAACTGTGACGTTCTGGGTTGATACCAATACCAGCGTTTAAAATAACAACTTGACTTGATTTTTTTTTTAATTTTTTGTTATTTATTCCCACTTTTGTGCCATGGAACCATCTTTCGGCTGTTCATCATGCTACTTTGTGCTTGTCCGCAGCAGAGGTAGTGCAGTACCCAATAAAAATATTTTTGTGAAAAATAAGAGTACAAGTGTAAATGCATAAAAAATGGGAACATAAATACAATGTATCAACTCAGGCTTTAACATGACAGGGCTCAAACTGCGGTGACTACCTCTAAACCGACGTTTTGTTTTGGGTTTTTTGCACGTATCTCCCCTTTTGCCCTAACAAAACAAACCAAACTCTATTGTACCCAAAACATAACCAAAACCACACTTAACATAAAATAAGCAGATATGGCGCAACAAAATATGACCTCATATAAAATTAAACATTTTTAGTGTAAATAGGTCTCTATAAAACTGAGATTTGTGCAGTAGCCAATAAAAATATTTTTGTGAAAAATAAGAGTACAAGTGTAAATGCATAAAAAATGGGAACATAAATACAACGTAAAAGTACTATCATTTCCCACTTTTTTTTTTGCCTGTGAAGAGGTTGACTTTAGTGGCTAGAAAGCCTATCAGTCATGTGGTTCCTATAACAGTGGTTCAGTCGGTGGGCAGGAGTGATCTGTGGTGAATATTACAAGTTGTTTTGTATTTGGCTACAGCCTACATTAGCCTGTGTACTCTTGCCTGACTAAATGTTGAGTCAAAAAGCACATGGCAACGTCATCTTTTTGTGCCGCGGGACACTACAATGTGTGACTGATTAGCTGCTACTGTATTTATTATTCACTTTAGTGATATATATTACACACGTGTCAATTTCCCTATGACTGATGGCAGTTATCAGGATGCATCCAATGCATCACGAAACATTGACTTTCATTGCATCAACACAGAGTTAAGAGTTTTATTACCTGACAGGCAGGTGCTCTTGTATCTTGGCTATCAGGCCCATGGAGGGGTCAGACCGTGTGTACATGGTAGCCAAAATTGCTATTACCACAAAAAGCCAGGAGGAGGGGCTGACAGGATAAACCCCAGTCACCAAGCTGTTCTGTCAGTGTGAAAATAAAGAAATGTACTTTAAATGTACTGCTTATTGTCGAGTGACTAACAGTATTACCACATTCAATATAACAATTGATCATTTTAATTTGAGCAATCACATGGTCAACTTTCCTAAACAACATCAGAAATATTGCTATACAGAAAGACAAAGAACAGCAGGTAAATGTGTACGTTTTACACGCCTGTTTTTAATAGCGGCTAATCGTCATGATGGAAATCATTTGAAATTAAGGGAAACTGTTAACTAAAATGTGAAAAAGGTATGACTCAAATGACATGATTGTAATTATTACATCTTTTAAAAGTTCTGTGGTACATGGTAAGCACGACGAAGAAACCAAATAGATATTAAACGAATTGCAGAAATACCTTTAATCTGATAACTCGCTTCTTCCAGGAGCGTACACCACAGAGATAGATCTCTGTAAAGGCCCGGTGAGACAGCTGCATGTTATTACCCTCAGAGGTTAGTGTGAACTGGAAGGCAACCGCCTGACGGGCTTCAGCCATGATCACTCTATACGACCAGAAAGAAACAATGCACAGTAAACGTGTGATTTTGCAGTATTCCTTGTAAAAGAAATATTACAAACATAAACATAAAGTTCAGACTCCTCAACTTGAACAGCTCAGATTATGACAGTACTTAACTATAAAAAATGAAATGTATGTTAATAATTCAACAATAAATACATTTTTTCTAAAATTGTAAAACACGTCAGTGACATTGTTGCACAACCCTATTGTTTAAAAAAATAAAAATGATTTTATTAACAGAAAAAATACAAAATATAGAAATGACAGGTCTAGAAAGTGCAACAACGTCAGTGACATTGTTGCACAACCCTATTGTTTAAAAAAATAAAAATGATTTTATTAAAAGAAAAAATACAAAATACAGAAATTACAGGTCTAGAAAGAGAATTAAGGTCCAGAAAGAGATACTGTAAAGGATACCTAAGTGGTATGAGCTTCTAAAAGGTATTTTACTACCTTAGCTATAGATAGTTTTCCGATGATGTCACACTACTACCCATAGTTCCGTAGTCCGCCATCTTGTAGGGCAAACAGAGCGTACAGATAGATAATAAAAACACAAAAGAACACTGATAATGATAAATAGCTGTGTTGTGTGGGGTTGTACCAACCAATCTGGGAATGGAGATTTTGAAGACGTTTTCTGACATACTCAAGGGAAACTGACAGAGAATATTTCGACAGAAAAAAGGATGTTATGGCTTTCACGTATTAATCGTGCTAATTTTATCCCAGATCCAAGCAAAGGGCATCAAAAAGTCTGTTCTGAACACTATTTCAGCGAATTACTTTTATTACTTTTTATTATACTTTTATTTAATTCATACGTTCAATGTCAATAAAATTAAAATATATCAAAATGTACTTTGCATACATGACAAATGTACACAATGTAAACGTAAATCCTCAGCTGACCACAGTCCATATCAATATTATCAGTATTTTAATGAAGAAAGTAAAAAATACATATTTTTTGGTGATTTTGGAAAAAAATATATAATCTAATCAATAGTATAACATGATTTTTCATGTAAACTGTTATTCTAATGATGTTCACAAAAGACACATCCGTACATGCCACTGTGATTTTTACATTAACACGCTGTATTATTTGGTACGAGTATACCACATGATATACATTGTCTGGCCGCTTCCACTCAGCTTTGTTGACTTCGTACGAGTCTTTTCTTTTGATTATTTTCAACTTGTCCAAGTATCTTGCCTTTGTAATTGTGTCTAGTGAATCTCTATACAACAATTTCGTCCCTCCGGTGATTTAATATTCTTGTCTTTTGTTGTCATTATTGATTGTTTACGTCCACTTGCTCGCGTCTTTTGCCACACAACATGGCCGACGGCACAATGCATCATGGGTAATAACAATTATCGGAAAACCATCTATTGTTGTTGGTAGTCAGCGCTGGTTTGCAACACCTTGTCCTTTTCTCAAAAGCAAAAAAATTGTATTCTCACTGCCAGAATGCAGCTAATGAGAAGACCCAGTAGCATTTTATGGCTTGTGATTTAGGAGAGTACAGATGACCTTATAATATTTTTGAAAGAAAAAAAGTAGTAGTAATTAACTTTTGAGACAGCAACATCCATTAAAAACATTCCACATTTGAAAAGGAAAAAGTACTGGAAAAAATGTAGCAAGAAAAAAATATGTGTTTTTTTTTTTCAGTAAAACATGCTATTTAATTTAGGTGGTCGGACTAATATCCGGTTCTAATGTTGTGTACAGAGAGCACCGGAAAAGCTGTGCCTGTGCCCAGTGGAGTTTCCAAGGAAAATCAATTAAAGAGCTGCACAGTAGCAAAGCTGACTACAATAAATAAATAAATAAATAAATAAATAAATAAATAAATAAATAAATAAATAAATAAATAAATAAATAAATAAATAAATAAATAAATAAATAAATAAATAAATAAAACAGCTAAGATGACTTTCCCTGTCTTTGAAACAGTTCAGTCAGAGGTAGCGAAGGGGTTTTAGTTTTAGGGAGATTGGTGAACATTTGTTTTGTTTACCGATATTAAACTACGCCCCGTTTCATCGTCAACAAACAGTTTTCCACAGCATTAGCATTTTTTATTTTATATCCACTGTCAATACAAAATACATAACTTTAGAGCCCCTTTTTCACTAAGCCACGAATTCATGCTATTTTCTATTTCTCACTCTGCGATCACCTGACCATGCTAGCTGATGGGGTTCTTCCTGACGTAGCTCAGTGTGGTAGGTCGTTAGCTCCACGTTAGCTGCTAATTTGATATGCCATAGCCTTTTGTTAAATGCGTAACAGTCAGTGGTAACATGCTACGGTCGTATGAGCATACCTGCAGATGGGAGCTTGAACATAACCGTCGACAAAACTGATGTGCACCGACGGAGTCCGTATCAGCGCGGTTACGAGCCTCAATCAATTCTGCGCGTGCACGCGTCTGTTCATGTGTGCCCTCTATTATTCGAAAATGTTAAATCATTATTCGTCTAATTAGTTTTACGTTTTGTGTTGATTGGTATGCTGGCCCATGTATTGGTATTTACGACAAATTCGCTTCTATATTTAAACTCCATGACTACTTTCAGAGTTTAATTCTTCTTCTTATAATTATAGTTTTTATTATTATTATTATAGTTACATTACTATTAACTGTAGTATTATTGTATTTTGGTACTATGAAAAGTAACAAATATATGAACTGAAAAAGGAAAATATATGTCAATATTATGACAAATATATGAACTGAAAAAGGAAAATTGCAACTAACCAAATGGGGTTTTTTTTACAAAGTAGTTTTTAATTAAAATTTCAGAACGTAACTTTGTTTAGTGCGTAACTTCCTGTCGTGCTTTTATTTTGAAGGTACGATGATCTGTTAATCTATCGGTTTGTTTGTTTTTTTTTTGTTGTTGTTTTGTTTTTGTTAGTTTGTTTCTTTGTCTTTACGGAGAAGGAGAACGATGGGGATAAAAACTTAAAAACAAAACAAAAAAACAACGCTCATGAAGAGGCGCAAGATTAATATTTGTTGTTGTTATTAGCTTAATGTTGTATTTTAGTGAACCAGGTTTAACATGTTGTTTTAATTACCCCGCAACAAGCCAACATGTTTGTTTTTATATTGATATTTTTTAATAGCTCTAAGTAGATTAAAATATTTGCGGCTGATGTTTAAAAACCGTGATGTGTCCGATAACAACAACAGAACTGTCCATGTAGCATTTTTTTTATTTTGCAACAACCCATAAATCTGTAGCATGTATGAATGTATGTATAAACCACTGTATGAGTTGCTGCCACCTAGTGACTGGAGGCTTGTTATCATTCAAACATTACAGCAGTGGTACACTTATGTGTACCTAGAGATGCCGGCCCCACTATTTGAGAAGTACTGGCCTATTGTAACCACACAGTGCATACAACGTCCATGATGACAAATCCGGATAATGTGAAAATAAGGTTCTATGAGGAACCGCTGCTATGACTGTGGAATTTCCGGAAGAGCAGAACCAGGTTCCTTCCTTCATCCAGTTAGCCCCCAACCATCACCTGCTCTCACTGCAGTTAATCATTTTTTGTACTTGCCTGATCAGTTATCTTTGTTGTCATTAGATATTGCTAAGCCATGAGCAATCTTTGCACCCAAAAGGCAACTATTTATAAAGCACCTGCCTAAAAAAAAAAGACAAACGTTTTTTTTTATTGGTTTCTTCTAGTACATGTTTATTTGTATGTTGTTTTTGAAGTACCTCTAATCAAATTAACAATTGAATGAAATTATAAGAGTTGTTTTATCTGCATGACACTTTCATGGAGACAGACCTTACATAACTAACAAACCAATAAGGTGGACCTCGATTTATTTATTTGATTTTTACCACGGATTCAATGACGTGCTCTTCAACCACAAACATTAGTTATATTTAGGCGCTTTTTATATTTAAATCACGATACGAGACTTTTCCTCACCGCTGACCATAACGGATGGACAGCGGATTACAATCTGAGTCAGAGATGGGTTTTCAAAAACAATGAAAACACCCTGGGGGAGGAAATTAAAGTGAATACTGTAAGTAGTCATTTACAAGAGTTTGCTGACAGCCATTCAAACACCTACAAAATGTCTCTGCTAATGTGGACTTAACAGATGAATGGAAACGCAAACAGGCAGAGGAAGGCAAACATTTGAAAAGGAGCATGTGCTCAACAATGATAAAGAGCTGTGTATTAAACACAGATCATTATTTGTACAACTGAAATCATTTTCATGATCATGATGAGCTCCCAGAGATCATTAGTCTGTAAAGTTAATGTCACTGCTTGGCAGTTCAACTCACCGTACCTGCTCAATTCCCAGCTCACTTTCGGTCTGCCACCATTTGCAAGACATGTACATGTTCCAGTTAACAGTCGTCATCCATATAATAAAAATGAGATGACTTGGAAAAGCATGCAGTTAGGCAATGAGCTTAGGAAATATATGGTATGTAAATTAAAAATATGCCAGGCTTCTTATACAAGTTGGCTGCTTTTAATTATTGTCGATTAAGCAGTTAATGCTCAGATGATGCATGCGCAATGATGTCAACACATGTCCCTAAACGACATAATATCATGGTTTACTGTTATGATCCGGGGACACATTCTGGACACAATTAAGAGAATGTAGGCAGATACTGAGTGCAAAACTACGCTTTAAACCTCAAAAAACAACATTAAAAAATAAATTGATAAATAAATCAGTAGGCAAAAATATATATTAATTTATGACAGATTGACAGATGAAAATAAACAATAGTGGTGATTATGCATCTTTCTGAGAACGTTGTGCAATTGCATATAGTGCTAAATGGAAGACCGGTGATCAATGTGGAGTTGCAAAATTCACAAGCATTCTCTTAGGCTATACATGTTAGGTGATTGCTGTGAACACAGCTCTGACGGACTACTTAACTAGTTGGTAAATACTGATGCGGGGAAACAGAGTTACAGGATTTGCTAAAGTCTGACTCCACGTTTAATTTCTTTATACAGAACAATGTCCTCTGCACTGTTTCTTTTATATATATATATATATATACATATACATATATATATATATATATACATATACATATATATATATATATATACATATACATATATACACACACACAGTGATCCCTCTCCTATCGTGGTAGTTGCATTGCATGGTCCACTGCGAAAAGAGGAAAAAATCCGCAAAGTCGGGGCGAGATAGTTATATTATTTACGTATATATTTACCCTTTACGAACCCCCCTCCCCCCCACATTGTTACCAACCCTCCCTAGACTGTATTACCCTTTCCCACACAATTATATGCACAGCAGAGTTGTATAATGAAGTATAAGACATATATATATTACGTACTCAAAGGGAGATGCTGAAAGATGCTACTATGCATGAGCCAATCCGTGTGAGGATCACAATGCTGTGTTCGATCACCTCTGGGTAAACGCGTCTTTTAGTTTATTTTTTTTGCTATATTTTTGCTATAAGTTAGAAAATGTTCTTTACCACGAAAATAATGCAAATATTGGAAATTTAAAAAAAGAAAATACCGCGATACAGCGAATCCATTCTGCAGAATGGATAAAAAAAAATCTGCGATGTACTGAGGGAGTGAAAGCGATATAGAGAGGGAACAATGTATATATATATACACGTGTGTGTGTGTGTGTGTGTGTATTTTTTTTCTTAGTTGATATATTACAACATTATGCTAATAAGACTACCTGGATGAGAATATGCACTATGGTTTGACCAACTTTTTCATTTTTTCTGGGCTGAAAAGCCTGGGATAAGATCCATGCAGCTTTACACTCAGTGTTTTTTTTTTTTCTTATGATGTTTGTATTTCTGATAAAACAAAAAGACCTTCAGAGCATCACAGGCCCACAAACATTTGTGTCTCTGAGTAAAGATAAAATTTAAAAAAATGCTGTGATGCCCTTGCCATCTTCCGCCGTTTCAAAACTGAGGATTTCCTTTCAGGAAATGTTTTTATTGCGATCCCTGTGCCACAGGTGTCTTTGAAATAAAATATACATAATAACAAAACTTTTTTTTTTGTTTGAACTGATGAACTCACTACAACAAGTAGTTTGTGGATGAGAGTATCTTATGGGCTATGACAAGCCTGTTTTTGTTTTTGTTGCCAGAGGTTGTATATGTCAGACAATACGATATGGTAGACTAGCCTATGTCGGCATCCTTCAGCAGGCCGATTGGATAACTACAGTAGCATGCACATTAGAACTTCAAATTTCTAAATGGTTCTACCAAGCTGCATCTATGATGGGCTCCTAACTGTATATTCACATGATTGTGATTCCCTAATTTGTGTTTTAAAAGAAGAGCAAAAGAGAGGGAAAGGCTTTACTTTGGCCCTGAACAAGATTCTTCATCAGCTTAGTCAAGGAAGAATAGGATTAGTACGTGGATAGCATAAAATGTCTGCTGTGGTCCAGGTTTCTTGCTGTGTGTTCTCACTTTTTATCCTACAATTGTGACTGGGTTCCATTAAACGATAGCAGTCTGGTTTTCTCCTTTGGTGAGTTTCTGCGCTGCAAAACTCCCGCACTGCCACCGATGCCTGCCCCATCTGTCCGGTCAGCCCACTCGAATCTGTCGCCCCCACCCTCGGAGCGCTTTGAGTTTTGGCGGGTGGGGGTTCTGTGGTGTCGGCTGCTCTTCTCATCTTGGAAGTGATCAGTAGAGGAGAATAGAAAAGTCATTTTGCAAATCAAAAGTAAACAGACAGACAGACAGACAGATAGATAGATACACACATAGATAGAGGAGTAGATGGATCTAAATTTGTGTTAAGAAGTAGTGTTACCAGATAGGGCTTGACCTATAGCTTGATCCTGGGAGCTGAGAAGCTGGGCTTGAATTGTTTCCACCACTCGTCTGAACCTGCGACTTTGACCTAGAGATGATTCAAGGAAAATAAAGAACTCTCAGGTTTGCACCACTTTCTCTAAAACTGATTCAGGGATGTGTTTTTTCTGTTTTCAGGATTCCTAATGTAGTAAATGCCAATAACAGCAAATAAAAAAACATATCCATGATGCAACATCAGACAGGCATCTGATTGGACCTCTTTACAGTAGGACAAGGACCTCAATCATATAACCAATGTCAATACAAACAATCATTAATGCATTCATTCAACAGTACTTTGCTATGTAGACGGAGCAGAGCAGTAGGCTCTATACCCAGAAAAAGAGTGAGTACTTCAGTCCTAGATGCCTTACCTTAGAAACTGTCAGCGACTATGGTGTTGAATATGGAACTTCAGTCAATAAACAGAAGCCGTGCATAGTTTCCTTTTATTAATACAGTGATCCCTCTCCTATCGCGGTCGTTGCGTTCCAAGGGAATATCCGTGAAGTAGAGGCGAGATAGTTATTATATTATTTATGTATATATTTACCCTCCCCCCACCCCTACACATACACTGTTATCAACCCTCCCTAGACCAGGGGTCACCAACCTTTTTTGAAACTGAGACCTGCTTCAAGGGCACTAAGTAATACAAAGAGTTACTTGTCTGATATATATATATATCATTGTATGTGTAAGTTAAGTGTAACTGATTCATAAAGCACAGTAACAGTTACATTTTTCAGCTATATCATTGTATGTGTAAGTTAAGTGTAACTGATTCATAAAGCACAGTAACAGTTACATTTTTTGTTGACTTTTTTTTTTTTTTTTTTTTTAAAAAATACCCCCCGGGCCCCTTTCGTAGCCCATGGGGGCTACCCACCCCTGCCCTAGACTGTATTACCCTTTCCCACACAATTATATGCACACTAGAGTTATATTAGTAGGAGCCGAGACCAAGGAGAGAGGAGAGTGAACAGAGGAGTAAATACTGACCAAGACGGACGGACCGTATATGAATGCTGGGCACAGCGCAGGAGCGCAGATTATTGTAAAGAAAAATAAAGGCTGTTAACTGTCATCGGTGTCAGCATGTTTGTTTAGGCTTCGTAACAGAAGCGAAACGGGAAAACTCATAATTGAAATACTAAGTTCAGGATTTCACGTTGCTCGATACATACCTGACATTAGGGTGAACGTCACGCTGTAGATTCCTGTCTCCCTCCTGGTTTCTCTTTCGGACCCTCTCCGGCTTCGCTCCCTCTCGCTCTCTGAGAACGTAATATCCACCTGGAACTTCACAGGCTTCTGGAAAACGGAGGGGCCGCCAGAAGACTTGTATTCAGCTCGAAAGCTGTTCTGTGAGAGAACGCTGTGACTGAGCGATGGGATCTGTGTGGTAGGGAGAAAGGGAAGAAGCAGAGAGAGCAGCGACCGACTTACAAGGCAGGAGAAGTATGAGGAGACAAAAGGGTGAGGCACAAGAAGAAAAGAAAAAGAGAGCCAATCGCAAAAAGAAGTGTGGAAAAACTGAAAAGCATGAGAAAAACATGATGGCAGATACTCACAGACAAGAATGCGTGTACAATGTCGGCTTTGACGGAGCTCAGTGGTTTGTCTCTGATGACAACATAGATCTGCTCCTCTTTATCTAAACCAATGAAGTTCCCAAACCATGACTTCTTTGCCAGTCTAGGGGAAAAAGACAGCAATACACAGGTTGAGCATACAATTTCAAAAACAAAGACAACGGACAGTTTTTTGTTTTACAAATGTGACATCTTAGCATTATAGTCTTATAGCTAAAATAAAATGGTGACAGGGCTGGAACTTTTTCAAATAAGCATGTACAAAACTTACTGAGCCCAAAAATAATAACTTTCTGTTCTCTGATTCCGAGAAGGAACATTCTAAGACACGAAATTTCCAGGTAATTAAATAAATTAAATTTTACCTTATCTTTGTCCCACAGTGGAGAAATTGCTTGGATGTGTTATTTTATTACTTTATTGTTTCGTTAATGTTAATGTTTAGGGGCATTTTAAAGTAATAGCTGTGAATGTAGACCAGGGGTCGGGAACCTATGGCTCGCGAGCCAGATGTGGCTCTTTTGATGGCTGCATCTGGCTCTCAGACAAATCTTAGCTGGGATTTCTTAATACAATAATTAAAATAATAATTTCCCTGATATTCAAGCAAAGCATTACAGAAATCACAATTTTAACAATACTGAGGGATCCAAGTAATATCTTCTTCTTCTTCTCCTTTCGGCTTTGTCCCTTTTTTCAGGGGTTTCTACAGCAAATCATTGATTTCCATATTGCCCTGTTCTCTGCATCTTCTACTCTGACTCCAACTATCTGCATGTCCTCCCTCACTGCGTCCATAAATCTCCTCTTTGGCCTTCCTCTTTTTCTCCTACCTGGCAGCTCCATCTCTGACATTCTTCTACCAATGTATCCACTGTCCCTCCTCTGCACATGTCCAAACCATCAATCTGGCTTCTCTAGCTTTTTCTCCAAACCTTCCTGTCTGTGTTGTCCCTCTAATGACCTCACTCCTGATCCTGGCCATTCTTGTCACTCCTAAAGAAAATCTTAGTATCTTTAACTCTACCACCTCCAGCTCCGCCTCCCTGTCCTCTGCCTATAGCTAGTGTCTTTAAACCATACATCATGGCTGGGGTCACCACCGTCCTGTAAACCTTTCCCTTCACCTTAGCTGACACTCTTCTATCACAGATTTCTCCTGACACTTTTCTCCAGCTGTTCCATCCTGCCTGT